GGTTAGATCTTCCCCAGACAGGGTTCCAACATCTTCCTGAAGGAACTCAGGAACTCCAGTGCTGAAGATAGGGTGGATAGGACTGCATCCCTAAGAAACAGGGCAGACCTGTGCTGGAGTAGAACTAAAACTGTGTGGTGGACAGCTTGCAGGGGGGAAAACCCACATGGGAAGGAGCAGTGGTGTTGCTGCACTTAAGTCAAGCAAGTTTTGCACTCTGAAAGAGGCTCATCAGTCAACACAGCACTCTTCTGGTACCCTCAGGAGACAGCATTTGGAGCCCTACTTTATTACTTACTAAACCATGCATTTCTAGGTCAATTTTGTGATGAAGTGAGACATTCACAAAAGCTAAAATGTCTCATTTTGCAGATTCTTTCATAACATCAGGCTAGCACTGGAAGGGCTAAAAAGAAATTGTTAAAGTGTCATAGAAAAGAGAGTGTAAAACGTAGTATGAATAGTWAAGATGATATTAGCCTAATGTCAGCGATGAATGAGAAAATAATCAGAACCAGACATGGGGAGGTGGTAGGGGTGCGGGTGAGTTGGACTCCATAGAGCTACATGTATAGTGGTAACACTTGTGGTGTAGAGGCCATGGATTTGGTTTATGGTTATTAAAATACTGACCTAACTCCTTACCCTGCAACAGTCCCACATGTTCCATCTGTTAAAATTAAAACACATAAGATTTAACTCTGGTGTGAATTACTATTACAATAACTATTTATAATGATTTCAGGTACAGACACTCCTCAAACATGGTGGGGAAACACAGCTGAGAGTTGATACCTGTGTTTTATCTCAGATCAGACACAGACTGTGCACAACCTCCCCCTTTGCAAGTAATCCAGGCTCATCTTATTTATCCTCCCAAGGTAACATCTTGAGGAACTGTAGAAAAGAGGAAGGCACGAGAGTCAAGTTGCCAATGAAATAGGTAGTGTTTGAATCCAAGATGTCAAGTGCAGAGRTCTTTATTTGCTTAGGAAATTAAAGGCCTGCACTTCAAGGCAGTACATTATTAGGGACAGTATCGGGAGCTGCAGATCACTTAGAGAGTCCTTCTCTATCCCTATGGGATAAGCTCTGTCCCACAGCTCCATGTAGTGCAGTGTGGTGGGACTGCCTTTCTGAGCTAGGTTTCTTGTTGGTCTCTGTAGGACTAGGCTTTTTATGCAGGTAGTTTTGGGTGGCATGTGTTGACGCTGACCTCTAGTGGGAATAGATTCCTTTCTCTCTTTTTCTGTGCAATTCTAACTATTTTAAGTGACACATTTTAGAGGGAACTGGAGAGACGGCAGAATTAGGGCTTTGGGTTTTAGTGATTTTTTTTTTAACACTCTCAATAACAGATTTGGAACATGAAGATTGGCCACATATTGTATTTAAATGTTCATACTCTCTCCACCACTACCTCCCTCAAAAGCATATATTACAGTCTGGATTTAAAGCCTGTGAAGAGACTGGAAGTTCCAAACCAGTGTGGCTAGACAGAAAGTTTTTCTGCTAGAAAGAGATCATCAAAGGAAGCCCAAGCCTTGCTGAATAAAGAAGGCAAAGCAGGTAGACTGACAAGCAAAGTTCATGCCTGAGATTTTCCACTCGAATTATCCAAAGGGAAAGTAGAGGCACAAATACCTGTAAGAGAGCTGGAAAGAACCTGGTGCCTGAGCTGGGTATTAGTGAGAAGTCAGATGTCAACTGGATAGCAGTTAGAAGGTCAGAGCACAGGATGGTTGCACCTGGATGTCTGGGTTGTATAGATGACTTCTATGGCAAAAGGACATGAGTACCTACCTGGGCCATCATGAGACAAGCCTGGGAGACACTCACGTGCTCTAGAAAGTTCAAAGCTCGTGTCACAGAGGCTGTTAGATCATTCACTCCAGCTAAGGTCACATTAGCACTTCCCGTACATTTCCCCAGCTCTGTGCTGAGAAGTCCTGCCAGAAAGGGTAGCATGGGGAGCTTATTACTGGTAGGAATCATTTCAAACCCAAGTAAGTGAACATGTGACAGATCTATACTACCACACAGGAAACAGTTGGTGTTTTTTTTTTTTTTTTGTACAAGGACCCTAGAGTCAACGACTTTGAGCTGCACCTCCACAGAGCTCTCTCAGCAATTCAGGGCTTATTAGCTCAAGCTCTGTGCTTTAGCTGAACCTCTCCTGGACCTGTGCTGGCCCTGGAAGCAGCCTGTGCATCTGAGCCACAACTGGGATCACCGGATAATCGAGGTGTGACTGTCCCTAGGGGCATAGCCAAGCAGCAAAGAGCTAGCAAAAAATGAATCTGACGTGGATGATCACACAGGTGCCTGGTGTCCAGGACAAGACAGGCGTGCTTTGGTACGTGRCAGGAGCATACATGTCCACTGGAGAGATCACATTTCTGTTCTGTATCAACAGTCATCAATCTGGAGGACATTAGGAAAGTACTCATTACACCAGGAAAGTACTGATCATACCAATAAGGATTTCACCTAATACATGGTTTCATCCATGCAAAAGAATTTCAGACATCAGTCTGTGATGGGATTTCAGAAGGGTACTAGATAAAATGGTAGAGGCATTTGAGAACGTGGTAATCCAGCAACTGCTGGGTACATAACACTAAAAGCAGAGATTCTGGGTGAGTGGGAATAAAGGGATAACTTTCTGGCTTTAYTCTATGGATGTGACAGCAGCCTGCACTGGAACACACTGAAAGGTTTGACACATGGCTTGCAGACACTGAGATGATTGTCCAACTCCACAGGGTGGGTGCTGCAGTTAATAAAACAGTGAACATGAAAGATCCAAGAGTCACAGTCAGATTCTGCCCAGTGTTGGGCCCTACAATGCTAGGCAAYCAGGAGCATCAGCCGCACCGTAGGTTCAGATGCAGCCGCTGCCACGGTGTGAGGGTATACACGGATACGTGAGCTGGATATTTGCTCTGCATTGAACAAAGGGGATGAGGTACAGGAGAGCAACTGTGGTCCTGCGTCCAGGAAGTGCCAAAAATACAAGCAGAGAACTTGAAAGAGGTCCGGGGAGTGGGAGGCAAGCTTGTGACAGGAAGCTATGGATGCCCACAGAGACTTCCTCTGCCTGCCTGCTCCTGCACTCCCGCTGTCCCACGAAACGTGGCTTCCTGCCTGCACAGAGGTGCCTGTCTCGGGGAGCTCGCGAGCAGCAAGGCTGCGGTTTAGTGCCTGTCTGGCCAGCGCTGAGGCAGTGACGCAACCCGGAGCGGCAGCTGCAGCAAAGGAGGAGGAAGGCATTTGCACTTGGCGTGCGGTTTGCGTGAGCTTTGTCCCCGCGTCCTGCACCAAGCCCTTGCTAGGTGAGCTCCTTTGCAAGTGGGGGCCATGGACACATCCTTCCCCTCCTGCAGGGTGACCTGGAAAACTGCTCCACCTTGCAGAGGGGGCAGGTGAACTTTAAGGGGTAGAGGCAACAAGTGAAACTGATTTTGAAGTGTCATTTGAGCTATGTAGATTCTCTTCTGAGGAAAAGTCACTTCTCAGGATATTAGAAAGCAGCGAGATAAAGGCTATGCAGATCCATAAGAATCACAGCACTGCTGGGTGACTTTGATCTTGGAAGCAGAGCACCCAAATGCAACTGGATCTGCAGCTCTCAAGCTGAGACCTGGGCCTTTGTTTTTAGCTTTTATTTTCAGCTTTGATGTTGTGCACTGGATGTGTCCTTGTGTGAGCCCTTGCACCCACCTTGTGCTTTAGGCTTGTTACTGGTAACACAGAAACACGGTGTGAAACAGCTGAGGACAGAGTGACTTGTAGCAGCTGCCTAGCCTTTCCCTTCACCGGGACAGGCAGAGCAAACAAGACGGTGTTTCCGTGGGTGAGATGAGCTAAGCCATGCACATGGGGAAAGCATATGGCTCATTCACACCTGCAAGCGACACCTACCAYATCGTTTCTCACGGAGCCTGAAGCTGCAGTCAGCAGCCGTGCACGTAACAGCATCCTTGCCCATGCAACCTGGTTCGACAAGGTCCCTCTCCCACCACCAGCCAACCTGGCAGCTATTTGAAGAACCCAAGCAAACACGYTGAGGGAGGAGGCAAGTCCAGGCCACATGAGCACACGCTGTCCCAGCTAGCACGACACAGTGTAGAAATGTCCCCACGCAGCCGGGCTGCACAGCCCTTGCACACACATACACCCCACCCCGGGATCTGCTTCCCCCTCAGGAGGCAGGACGGGGGGGAAGAGGCAGGGAGGGCAGCCCCCCATGCAGGGGAGGCTCGTGGTAGCAGGGTGGGGAGCAGGGGTGCTGCGCCCGCGCGTGGAGCTGGGGCAGGGCTGGGAGCAGGGCTGGCGCAGGAGCAGGGCTGAGGCCGGGGCAGGAGCAGAAGCGGGAGCAGGGCTGGGGTGGGAGCAGGAGTGGGGTCGAGATCAGAGCAGCAGCAAAAGCAGGGCCAGGGCCAGGGCAGGAGTAGGGTCAAGGCCAGGGCAGGAGCAGGGCCGCAGTGGGAGCAGGGTCAAGGCCATAGTGGGAGCAGGAGCAGGGTCGCAGGAGCAGGGAGCAGGAGCAGGGCTGGAGTGTGAACGCGAGCAGGGCCGAGGCAGAAGGAGCAGGAGCGAGG